ATGTGTATAAGAAAAAAAATTTCTTATGAAAAGTACACTAAAATCATAAAAGATTTTTTTATGAAACATAAATATTAGCTTAAATCAACATCTAATTTGAAAAAAAAATATATAACTTAAATTGTATTTAGATAATCATTATTAACTAACTGCTTACAAAGAAAGTTGCACAACAAAAAGGTATAAGACATCCCTATTTCCTTCATGCCTTTGAGCGGCGATTCTCTTCTCCAGCCCTTAACCCTAGCCGTAACTTTTCTTCACTCCGATCTCTCTTTCCGGTAAGCGGTGTTTCTCACCTCCACCGGAAAAGGTAACCCCTTATCTTGCTTTATCTTTATTCCTTTCTTTGGCTTTTGAATCTCGGGTTCTTGTTTTGGATCGGAGTTTGGGTTTTAGATCTGGTTCGCTATGGAGCTGGTTGTCGATGCTTTGCCTCTTTTCTAGGTTCGTGGGCTAGTGCTGGCTTTTATGCTAAAGTTCCTCGAGTATGGTGGCTTGTAGTCGAGTTTAGTGATGGCTCGTTTTCTTCAGTTCGGTGGTTCTGCTCTCTGGCTTTCAAAATTCCATCGTTTGTGTTATGTTTTGAGGATGGCGTCGGGTCTCGTTGTGGTGGAGCTTAAGGTTTGTGTCTTTTGTTTGGGCTTTGCATGAGATCTTGGGCTATAGCTTCGCCCTTCCTTCGGCTCATTTGTTTGTCTCTCTAGTGCAATTTCGGTGGCTCGACATGGCTAATCTCTTCGCCTTCTCTTCGATTTTATCCGACCCAGGATTGTAGTTTTGTCTTCTATGTGGCTCTCCGGTTCGACGGTGGTCTGATGGAGTTTCGTCAGTACTTTCTCTACCTAGTTCTATCTTTGTTACTGAGTTTCCTGGCTCATCTCCTTCCCGACTCTGGCTGCTTGAGGCGGTGGTTGTTTCGGGAACTGTGCCCTCTGGTTTCTTTGTGCTCTAGTGGGGCTTTGGTTGCTCCGGTTGTTTCTCTCTTGGGCCTTGTTTGGGTTAGAACCTGTGGATTCGCGGTGACCTTTGTGGTAGAGCTTGTTGCCTTTTATTGGTTCTTCTCCAGCTCATCCTTGTCGGTTTGCTTGGCGTTTGGTGTGATTGTTGGTGTTTTTGTTCTGGTTATTTGCCTCTAGTTTGGTTTGCAATAGGTGCTGGCCTTGTCCTTCATAATAGATCTTTGGGTTGGTTTGTTTAGGTGCGATGGTTCGTAGCCAATGTGGTTGAGTGTTCTTTGTCGAGCCTCTCTGTTTGTTTGCTGTTGTGGTCTCTTGTGCTTAGTGTTTCGCTAGGTCCCCTCATCTGGTTTTGCTTCTTGTGATGGTATATCGTGTGGAGGCATCTGCTGCTTGTTCCCGTGCCTGGGTTTTGGATTAGGTATCAAGACGAAGCAATGGTATCGGTCTCCAGCTCTGCTCTTGTGAGGAGGTGGCTAGTGCGTGTTAGATATGGTTTCCTTCTTAAGCGTTTTCCTAACGGTGGTCAAGGTTTGCCTTGAGCTTAGCGCTATACTTTGCTCGGGGTTAGGTTCAATTTGCTTTGGGATTTGGTGTTTGATATGTGGCTGTCTTCGATTATCTTTCTTCCCCATCCTCTCGGTTGCTAGTAGAGTTCTGGTTTGTAGCCTTGTTTGGCTGATCAGCTTGCGCTTGTTCCTTGGCACGGGTTAGGCATCAAATGGTTCCATGGGAAGTCTGGTTGCTTCGATGAGTTGCTTTGGGTTGGCATG